TTAAAACATGACCAAAACATTTCAAGAATGGTTACAATTAGTTTCCTACCATTTTCTGCTTGCAGAAGAGACATATGTTAGCGGGTTGGTAATGAAAGGAGGAATATTGAAATCAGATGATAGTGATGTCGAGAGACCAGAAAATTAAAAATGAGAATTAATTTAATCAACAGCTTTATCCTATTCAATGCTAATCCTTTGTGCATCAATTTAGCAAAGATATTGATATAATTTCTCTTTTTAGACAAAGAGATTCTAAATAAGTGCATTTGATGAAAGTTGCGTTATTAGTGCAATTTCTCCCTACAAAGCCGCACAATTCAGAGAGAAAATAAGAAAAACTCGTGGAGAGTAATGATTGCCTACTATTAGTTGTCATAATATTGCAACGTAATTAATATATACAAAGAAAATGAAAACAGCAATCCAAGTTCAAATTTCAAGCTAGTCTGCTGCATTCACTTTTGCCCAAATACCCTTGAGGAATGTTTGAATCCATCTCTTCAAACCCAGAGCCATGGGTTAAATAGCAACCTGTCTAAGAGACAGAAAACTGCAAATCCCAAACAATGATTAAGTCAATTGAAATTCAGACCAATATCTCCCCTGATAATATTATTTTTGAAGAGTACAAGAATAAAAGTGCTAATGTGGGAGAATCTGAAATATAAATTTTTATGCAAAGAACAATCTTAGGTTGTACTATTGGATCAGCAAATAGTGTGTGAAAGTGAAAGTGAAATCAGCAGTTTGGGTTCAAATTCTGATTTCGTCTGCTACATTCACTTTCACACAAATGCCTTTTTGAAAGGTATGAACCCATCTCTTCTCCATCCTCCACACCTAGGGGTTAAATAGCAGGCTAGTCTGGACTCTCTAGCCTTGGTTGGCAACCAGTCTAATAGAAGAAAAACTTCAAATTCCAAACTCCAGACCAATATCTCTCCCAAGAGCACATGTCAATGTCATTTTTGAAGAGTAAAAGAATGAAAGTGTTAGTAGTCATAAAAAGGTACCATTACTGAGAGAATAGTGTTTTTAGATGTATAATTCTACAGTTCCAGCCGATAACAACCAGTGTTTACAAAAGAACCTGAAATCCTCCAAAGATTTTGAAACTGAAAATCTAGTGTAAAAAAAACAAAGTATTTTGTGTGAGGAAGAAGAAAGAAACACTAAAAACTTGCTTTCACCTCTTCAGTACTTATCTAAATAACAAGAATGTATACTGCAGACATTAAGCCATGACTGGGTTTCATACCACATTGCACATCATTTAGACAGAGAGGAATAGACAAAACTAGTTAATGGCGCTTGTGTTTGCTCCAAGGAAGAAGAAAGTATGAATTCTTTGATAACTATTTTCTGATAGAAATGCATTGAAAACGAGAAAGAAAGGGATTTTCAATGGTCAGGAATACTTGCAATCATTACTGATAGAATAGAAGCTCTCCAGTTGTATAGATGAACAGTTGCACAGATGGACATTGATATGAATATTGATTGATTTGTTTTTCTACTTATCAACCCTTTGCAGGTCATTTACAGCCAGGAAATATTTTTAGGTTTGAAGAATATTTTTTGTTTCTAATAATAATCATTTAGTGATACAAATCATACTAATTAACCCATAGCTAGGGGAGGAGAGGTAGATTTTGGTTTAGAAGAAATAACAAAAAGACAAAACTTTTTAAGAGCTACATAGAAGATGGCAAATATTAAGTCCTAACTACAACATGAATCAACTAATTCTAGTTTGCTGAATACTGAGGTTGTCTAGTAGTATAGTATGGTAACTAGTACTTACAATGTAGGTGTGAAAGAAACTAAGAAACAACCTGATTAGTAAATCCAATTCTTCCTCCCTCATCACATGGATTTAAATAGAGAGGAATGGACATAACTGGTCAGTGGTTTTTGTGTTTGCTTGAAATAAGAAGAAAATGTGAATTCTTTGATCATGGTTTTTTTTTTAGACAAAACTAGTTAATGGCGCTTGTGTTTGCTCCAAGGAAGATGAAAGTATGAATTCTTTGATAACTATTTTATGATAGAAATGCATTGAAATTGAGAAAGAGAGGGATTTTCAATGGTCAGGAATGTTTGCAATCATTATTGACATAACAAGAGCTCTCCAGTTTCATACATGGACAAGCATCAATAGACCAACAGACATCCTTGATATGCAGTGTTCAGTGACAGATGAGAAGTCAATAACAATGACCGGAATGAACCAATTCTTGTTAACTCAATTCTGTAGTCGCTAGTAGGAACTGTGATGACATGACTATGAAATTCAATTCTTCATACTACCATTTCATCATTTGGATCAACAAAGAAAGCATCCCCTCCCCACCAGGCGGGAATCAATCATGTGTAACAGAAGAGTAGAATAAATTAGTTAAGGCGTTTAAGTTTGTTCAAAATAAAGAAGTAAGATTTAAACCGAGCAATTTTTATAGCATTTCGAGTTTATAGAAATACACAATTTGTAAGCATACCAAAAATATGATTTCAATGATTATAGAAACATTTTTAGATAAGGACTCAACATGAAAGGAGCTTTTCATTAGAGAGAGAAGACATGGATTCATACTTTTCCCAAAGGTATTAGCTTGTAAGTGAATGCAATGAACTTGACTGGAATTCAAACTCGGCTCTCTGATTCCTCAATCCAAGCTGCTATCCATTACTCCACCATAACTCCTAAACATATAACTCCTTCCATCATTCTCTATCATGTCAGTAATCAAGCTGGTTTGAATTCATGCTTTTCATTCTCCTAGAGTAGCTACCAACCAAGGCTTTAGGACCCATAGCTATTTATTGGGAGAAGACATGGATTCATACCTTCCCAAGGCTATTGCATATAAGGGAATGTAATAAATTCTACTGAAATTTGAACACAGCTCACCGATTCCTCAATCTGTAATGCTCTATCATTACAGGAATTAGACTGGTTTGAATTCATGATTTTGTATTCTCTGATTGCTCAATCCAAGCCACTATATATTGCATCATTGGGCCCTTATTTTGTGCCATGCATTAGAAAAACACCCATCTTGAAAAGCATTGTTTTTTTTTAAATTAAGCATGCAACACAATCATGAAATACTAGTGTAATTTTATCAAAAGATTCCAACCTACAATTGAAGAGCCGAGATAAAGATTACCATGTTCTTCTTTAATTTTAATGCACACAATAAAAATAAAGTTCCAACATCAGAACCCATTGAGGAATGAGGAAATTAATATGAATAGAAAACATGGAAGATGCTTTTACTTCAGTTGGTTGTCTTAAAAAGGCATGATGCAAACCCCTTGTTTTTTTTTCAGTTATCTCAAGAACGAATTTGAGTATATTTTCCATTGAACAAGATGAGAAAAGTATCACTTTAGGATTAGAAAGTTCAATCTGTGATTAGAATTTGTAAAAAAAAGAAAAAATTCAGTCATACAATATCAGAAGGAGTGGAAATTATCTCATTTTTCCTTAAATTATCCTAACTGTGCATTCCCAGAAAACTTCATAGAAAAAATAAAAATTAAACAGCCTGACAGTTTTATACTTTTCAAAATACAAAGTTTACAAAGAACTCCATTTATATATCAAATGTACATTTACATATATACTAGCAGCATGGCCTGGCATTGTCCGTGCTTGATTCAAAAATCATATGACTCATACAGCAATCACTATCACTTGACTTAAAATATTTTTGCCCTTCCTTGCCTTTAAAGGAGTGCCCTTTGCCATGCTGATGTTGCTACATGCCTTACTTCTTATCTATCTCACACTTCAAATTTTTTCTAAGCTCTATACTAAACATTAAATCCGTTACGAAAAAAGAACTAAACAAAATGAACACAAAACAATGAGCTTTAAAAAAGGACTCGTAACTGGAAAAACCGAATGAAAAGAGAATGTTAACAACAAATACTTTTTCACATCAACCCAGTTCTGCGGCATCAGAATCAACATTAAGTTTAAGCAAGCGAATGAGCCAATTGGAGTAAAGTGCCATGCAGATTTAAATTTTTCCCACTTGTGACGAATGCAGTTATTGATGTTTTGCATGCTACTTAACATTTGTGTCAGTCAGCTGTTGGCTCTCACGCTGGCCAATAGAATCTTCCTGCCTATTCGTGGCAGCCAGCAATTGGCTTTCACTCTGGTCAGTAGAAAATGGCCACAAATTACATGTAAACTGCCAGTAGAAGCATGAAAAAATTGATTATTTCCATTATCGATGGGAATTGGGAAATGCAAAGTTGGTCTTGGCCTTCCCACTAACTTGGAGCATGTGCATGTAAATTTTGGTGCAAATCCGTCGAAAATTGCTGCCGTGCATTCATTACACACACACACACACATCCTGCCTTATATATATATATATATTTAGGAAATCAACTTACTGTAAAATAATTATATTTTCAATTTGAAAAAAGCCAAAAAAGTTCTCTTAGAATGGACGGAGGAGTTTGAATCCAGAAAGTAATGTGAGGTAAAGCTTATAAGCAAATAGTGAAATTCAATAGAAATTTAAACTGGGTGGAGGGTGTGGGGATGTGGCATGAGGAGGGGATGCCGTATGTGCCAGACGATGGCAACACAGAACAAAGCAGAAGAAGACCAATGAGCGAACAAGCGAGGCAAAGGCTAGAGGAGATCAAAAGAGAATCGCTCTTGAACTGCAAAGTTTGATTTGCTGAATATAATTCCATCAAATTTTCATTTTCATGCCATTTTATAGTCAAGTGTTAACAAAAGAAAAAAAAAAAAGTATACAAACTGGCAGAATAGAAAATTATACACCCCACAACAAATGACGAGGTATGTGCGCGAGTACACGCATCTGTACACTTACATGAAAGCAGTTTCCTTAACAATTCCATATGAATATTATTTTGAAGTGTATATTTTGGACACAAGCTTAACTAAATCTGTGGAAGTATCGTGTATCAACAAGAACATTTAAGCCTTATGGCCTTTTCCTGTTTAATCACTGGTACTCATTCCATCATCAAAGTTAAGCAATGTTGAGCCTGGTCAGTACATAGATGGGTAACCACTTGGGAATGCCAGGTGCTGTGAGTTTGGATGTGTGTAATGGATAATGGTTCCAAATTGGAAATCATTCTGTCAGAATTGTTATATTCACTTACACACAAATGCTCTTGGGAAAATTATAAATCCACTTGCTTTCACCCCATCTATTGGTTAAATAGTAACACTTTTCACATGAAAATAATTATAATCTCAAAGAAATCGGTAATGTAATATGCAAGTGGTGTAATGGATAACGGTTCAGAATAGGAAATCCGAGCTTCGGAATCATATGCACCAACATGCAAATACCATTTGGATAGAAATGAACCCACCTCTTTTCACCCCATCTAGTGGTTAAATAGTAACACTTTTCACATGAAATTCATTGTCATCTGAAAAAATCAGTCATGCAATATTCACTTTATAAAAAGAAACAAAAAAATTATTCTTATTATCCGAAAACATAAGAAATGACAAGGCTTTATTGTGTACACACACACACACATCTGCACACATACATACAAATGGTTTTCTCAACATTTACACATGTGTATTATTTTCAAGCATATATTTTGGCCACAGTTTTAATTAAATCTATGAGGTATTGTGTATCAAATAGAATATTTAAGGCTTACAGCCATTTCATATTGAATGTCTGGGACTCATATGATCACTGAAGTTAAGCAACGTTGAGCCTGGTGAGTACCTTGACAGTTTGAAAAAGGAGTGTGACTATGTCACAATTCTATTAAACAGTCAAACTGAATTTTTTTTTTCACAGTCCCTCTTAAATGGCTTGAATTAATAAACTGAAGCTTGTTAAAATTCACCAAAATTTTTGGATCATTTTCCAACATTGTCTTCAAATCCTCATTGATCAATCACTTTGACAGATCCTTCTTCTTAAGCATTTCCTCAAAAGTAATTTGTTCGTTAATAGTTTCGTGCCCGTAATGTATAATTCATTTTGTATGAATAGCATATGCATAAAAAACAAATCAAGTTGAAAAGCTTTTTATACTTGCTTCAATATGCAGAATTTAATAGAATAAAATAAATAAATTATTGAGTAATCAACTAGTTCATTATTGGAAAATAACATTTTGAAAATTACATTTGTAACTGAAAAATAATATCAAACTGAAAACAGAATAGGAAATTTCATAATCAACAACCTGTACATAACACAAGAAATGTAAAAGTTTTCAGAAGAATTGGAACTCCAACAAAACTATGAGAAAAGAGGGTTGGAGAAATTAACACTCACAGATCATACTGAAGGCAAAAGAAGCAAAGGAAAGCAGCTAGTAATCTATTTAACCAATACCACAAAAAGAGTACCACAAAAGACAGGATCCTGTGGAGAGCCGTGATTCACTATGTCCTGAAGGTACATCCAGAGAAAGAAGACCTGTGTCAGGACATTTAAGTGCTTAACTTGAACAGTGAAGTGTTAAGATGCCAATATATATCTTTATTAACTTTTATAAAAAAAAACAATGTCAAGGTGTGAGATAGAATATAGGACTCTTCACAAGGAAATCAGGAACAGATGCAAGCGAGCTAAAGAGAAATGACTTAATGAAAAACATGCAGAAATAGAAAGAATGAGAGCAGGAAAAAAACATGCTCATTGACGGGATGCATAAAATCCAAGCACAGGCCAGTGATATTAGAGAAAGAAAAATGCTTCAGAGATAGAACGAATACATGGGAGAACTCTTCCATGACAAAAGAGAACTGGAAATACAGAGAAATATCGATGGACTGGAAATATAAAAATCTGCAATGAAGTTGGCACTGATCAAACAGGCAGTTCTATGCAAATGGATCTATTTAGATATCCAGGGATATCATCCCTGTTGTATATTTCATTTGATATGTCTGTAATCTTGTCAATGCCAAAATCATCTAAAGAAGCCAGCATTTCTCTTACTATTCTGTCTGGTCTTTTTTTTCTAAGAAGTCAGGTGCAAATGAATGTGAACTCTATCGAACAGTTAGCCTAATGAGAATGAATTCTGATGAATAAAGCGTGCAGCAAACTTAGACCAGAAATAGGACAGGAACAGTGCAAGTTCATTAAAGAAACTGGAACAAGGAATGTGATATTTCGGCTTAGAATGATATCAGAAAGAGGAATGCAAATGCAGGATGATGTGCACCTACATTTTATAGATTATGCAAATGCATTTGATAAAGTGTGTCACAAAGTACTATTGGAACTACTCGGTAACCTTGACATATTTGGAAAGAATAATAGAATATTAGAATAAATGAATATTAGAATAATAGAATAAAAGAATAATCCAGAACCTATACTGGGAGCAAACTGCCTGCATATGGATAGAAAACAAATTTGATAAATGTACAAAAATAGAAAGGGGTGTGAGACAAAGATGTGTCTTCTCACCAGGGTATCAAATATATATATATATATATATATATATATATATATATATATATATATGAAGCAATCCAATGAAAAAGAGGAAAAATTCAGTGTAACACATTTTGCCCCCTGAAAGGACTTCACTGGACGAAAGAAATGTTTTTATTGATGGAATTATATATATAAAGAGGGAAAAAGTGCGTAACCTACTCAATGATCTTGTTTAATTAGATGGCAGAAGAGAGACTGGGAGTGACAGTAAGGTGATAAAAATTGCTTAGAGTTACAAAAGATAGGAAACTGTGGTGAACCATGTCCTGAAGAGATATGGCACATGAAAAGCCATGGATTTTATAAAGCCAAATTGTATCAAAATATGTAAATCAATCTTTTTAACGAAAACTAACCAAACTCGAAATACCATGCATTTTTTTAGTTTATATACCAGAGGTGTGAGGGGGGGGGTCTGTATAGGGCCTAGTAAATATATTTAGAATCCAGTCTGATATGAGAGAAGTAATTCAGTGGTTATCTCCCAATAAAATTTAACGAACTTCTAAGACTGACTGATTGATTGATTTGTTTTTTATGGCTTGTCAACCTTTTCCAGGTTATTTAAAGCCTGAAAATATCTTTAGATTATCAGAATTTTGGGGAGATAATCTTGATTTACTGATACAAGTCTTGCTTAGAGTTACAAAATAGCTGGAGAGAAGAAGAAGTGGATTCATACCTTTCTAAAGGAGATCCAATTGGAATTGGAACTTGGCTCTCTGATTTCAATTTCTGAACCATTATTTATTACAGCATCTGCACACCGAAGCTTATTCCCTCATATTCCCTAGCAGTCACCATCTAGGTATTGACCAGACTCAATGCTGCTTAACTTCAGTGATCATATGTGAACCAGTGTCTTGTTCAGAAGCAATTCTGCTTTCAGCTGCTAATTTCGACAAACAATTGTACAAAAAAATCCTTTAATTTAATAATAACAAATGTTTTAAAGTTTTTTAGTTGCTCTTGACCTGTAATATGTCTGCATGATTCTTCATCATCTCTGTGCCATGTCTCTTTCGAATGTAGCAATCATGGCTCTCCACAATTTCTTGTCCTTTGTAGATCTTGGTAAATTTTGTCTTTTAGCTATCTCTCCTAATCTCCATTTTGCCAACCATTTACACAAGCTTGCTAGGTAGGTTATGCCCCACTTTTCTCAATCTCTCACCTTCAGTATGTCCTATGAGTGTTAAATTTTCTATGCCTTCTTTCCTCATTAAGTAGCCTAGAAACCTTCCTGATGTTATGTATAAGTGTCCTTTTTGTTTTAATTTTTTCTAAAACTTTATCATTGCCCACATGTTCGGTCTATGATGTTGAGCATAAGTGTCCTTTTCTATATATATATATATATATATATATATAATGACTATTATCTTCAACTTTGTTGCAGTTATTACAGCATTTCAACCATTGTGACCTCCAGCCTTCATCAGGGAATTCCCAACTGGAAACTTTATTTCATCTACTTGTGTCCTTTTTGTTACCATATTAAATGTGGCCTGCCTCACAGCCGAGGGAGTTATATATTTCCAGTGTTTAAGTGCATGTCAGATCATTCATTTTTGCAAGGTAACAGCGAATGTTGGACGGTCTCCTCAAAGATGAAGAAGAGACTTAAAGCAACACGGGTAGGGTTCTACAGAAGGGTGCATGACGTACTTCCACAGAAGCAACATGACATACTTCATGGGCTTAAGCAAGCAGATTGCAGAACAAGATCAGGGAGAAATAACAAAAAGACAAAACTTACTGAGAGCTACAAGTGAAAGGAAGAAGTGGAGAGCTATGATTGCCAATGTCCTGGAGGGACATGACACATAAAAGAAGAAGAATCAGGTAGGTTCTCTCTGTTTTCTTTAAAAAAAGAAAAAAGATCTCACACCATATTCCCACCCAATACTTCTCATAATTTGGCATTGTGCCATACAAAGTTATGTCTACTAAACATGTGTCAGAACCAGTCAGCAGAAGAAGCTCAGTGCAAATTGGAGTGAAAACATTAAATTAAGAGTGAACTCCAATGCCAAGTGTAAACATGGATTAGGCTCTGTTTGATCAAGAACTTACAAATCAGTTGATCTCCTCAATTATAAAAAAACAAGTAGAAACTGAAGTAGTGTTAAAAGAACAATCAAACAAGTTATAATTCAAAAATAAAACTGTTCTTTTACGATTTTTGTCAGACTTTTTGAGATGAGGAATTGTCATTATTATGTACATTGGGATTCAAGTGATCATTCTTATCATACAGTCTTTCAGCCATTGAACCCTCTAGCCTCCTTCAGGTCTCTGCCTTATTATATGCTTTGTTAATTCAGACCAGAGTGTTTACCTTGGCTATTATATACTCACAACATTTCGACCACTGTATCCTCCAGCCTTCTTCAGGTGTCTGTCTTATTATATGCTTAACTATTCAAACCAGAATTATTATAGTGACAATATTTCATTCACCTGATCCCTCGCACCTCAAACTTTTCAGGTGTCTTCCTTATGATAAAGCTTTGCTATTCAGACAAGAATACTTGTGAAGCAAAGATGGAAATAAACACCAAGATGCTCAGACTTCAAATAACAAAAAATGTTTTGGAG